ACATCACCTTTACAACAACACTGAGTTCTGCAGGCCCTTTAGGCATGCAGGCTACTCTGTTGGCAAGGGTGGTAGTATCAAGCCCAAACTTAACAACCTACTCAATCACGTTATTTCCTTTGCCATTTAAATCCTTATACAGAAAAGCAGACAGGAAACAAAAATGCATGTTGGGTCAAAAGTAGCTTACTTCCTTGTTATACATTAATATTGGGCAGCTCCTGGAGCTCCTAACCCCTGGAGTGTCCACACATTAACATGTGAACCTAGTTTTAAGTACTCTTTAGACACCTTAAAGTTATGCCCTCCAGGGCATATTTATCTCTGATCCATGTTCCACTAGTCTGGGGACACTCTAGGCTACACATTAGTGTGAACACCCTCCCCCCACTCCCCACTGGCTTGGACCAGGTCGACTCCTCCACCCCCCACCACCCCCAGCACCCCAAATCCCTGCTCACTGTCCTCTGCCAGCTCCCCACACCCCTGCTTACTTGCTGCTGCGCTCACTGGGAGAGCAGGCAGGGAAGGGTTAATCTGCATGCTTGGTCACTGCTACTCTGCGGGCCATGCTCAGCCTGGAGAACAGCAGCAGCTCAGCAGTGGCTGAGGGGGAAAGGGAAGATTTTTACCTTTCAATCCTTCAGGGTTCTGCAGGCCTGAACACGTGACTGCTGCAAACTTGAGCTAGCACCAACACCAATCAACATTTAAGCAGCTCACAGTGTAACAGGTAACAAGGCCCTTAGCAAAGTTTGGCTCATTAGATTGACTCAGAGCACCCTACATCACAATCATGACTTCTTGGAGGTGCTTGCAGCAAGTGCATCACAAGCCCGTAGCTATCATACTAGCTTTGAGTAGGTCAGTGACACCGTACACGTGCCACCGTTCTTTAAAAATAGCTGCTAGCATCTGTATCCTTGCCTTGAAATAAAAAAAATTTAAAAAGACGACAATTTGGAGGAAGGCCTGGCGGTTCTTCAGCAGGGTAATGCCATTTAAAAGACAGACATGAACATAAAATCAACATACTGGATTGGATCGTTGCTGTCACAGATGTTCTGCTGGTATAGCCCCCTTGTAGAGACATGATATCAGCAATTTCACTTCACTAACTCCCCAAAAGACAGAAGCCCTCTTCTCTTGGGAGAGCTGCATCCAAACCGCTTTCTTTGTAACTATTTGGTGGGGAGAGCTGAGCTTCCCATCCTGCAGAACACATGAGAAGCCTGGAGGAGCAGCAAATGCCAAGGCCGATGTTCTCTGCCTCCTCTGTGGCACATATTCTGCCCTTCCAGTTTGAAGACTGCACTGGAGCCCCCTTTGTTACACCCTTGCTAAGTGCAGAATCCCCCAAAAGCAAAAGGACTGAAGGAAGACAGTAGTCGGGAAGGATGATGCACCAGTCGTTTTAAAATGAGGAAAAGAGAAGAACAAAGTTGAAAATATTCCATTGCACAAGGGGCAATAGCATTGTATTAAGCATCCATGACCAAGGTCAGCTACAGCATCATGCTCAAGGTAACTCCCAAAGGCTGTCCTGTTAGAATATAGGCTCAGTTTTCTTCTGCTATTCAGCAAATATTTGTGTTAACAGCAGCCAGTGATTTGAAACCTTATGGAGTAAACCAACAAATTAGATATAGCAGGCTGAGATTACATTCTAATGGAATGGGCTGATGAAACATTAATGCCTTAATTACATAACTGCTTCACTCCTTTAGCAGAACATCATATGGCAAAGCTTACATTCAGAGATGTCCCCATTGCCCTAGATGTCCAGCAGTAATGAAAATCTGAATAAAAGAAGATCTTGAACATAGCCCTGCCAGTGAATTGCTTACCAACTCCAGTCTTTTTACCTAGACAAATAACCGGGCAAGGAGCTGGGATCTACACAGCTATGCTGTGCAAGTCTGTTTGAACTTGTAAAGGGTTAAAACCATGTAAACCCAAATTAGCAGAGCCAAACCAGATGTGACCTGATGGAAGAATCTGAGGCAAAGCCCTCTTTTTTATTTTACTGCCCTGCACACATCAGGCTAGCACTAACACTCTCTGAAATCATGGATCTGAGGAAGGCAGAGGAGCTGCTTGGCCATTTGCTCATCACTTGCCTTAACGGGTGATTTCTGAAAACTGCACATGCACAGCGGTCCCTCTTGCTGGAGGCCGCTACAATATTGACCTTGGATCGCCTTCCCCAAATTCTCCCTTTCAAGCTGGTATAGTGGCAGCGTGCACATGAACAGTGTCACTGGTCTAACAGCTGGCCTGCTTGTCTGCTGAGAGAAGATATGTATTTCTCTGACACCTCTCTAAGCCAGCAATGAGCCTGGTGCGATGGGTTCAAATTAAGAAGAATCTGTGGCGGATGCTCAGGATAATCAGGTAAATAAAGTGCTGCCATCCCTGTTCCAGAGATGAGGAATCATCGAGGAAAAAAATACACCAAATTCCTTCGGGGCAGCACGCTAAGGGGATTAAGCAGAAAACTAGGAGTCAAGAAACCTGAGATGAAAGCCCATGTCTGTTGACATCTGTGATGAAACTCACCCCAGATTACAAGCATGGTTCTGACATAAGCTTGTTGCATAAGCCACATCCCCTCTCAGGGCCTCAGCTTTTACCATTTACTGAATGGGTTTTATCTACTTCAAGCAGCAGGAGAAGGCAAAGGGAAATCATGTCTATAAAGTACTGCAGAAGTGGACAACAGGAATGCAGCCAGGCAGGAGCAGAGGCAGAATAGAAGAGTTCTGGTCTTCCTGCCCTATGCCTGCATGGGCCCAGACCCACATGCATGTGTGCGTGCAAAGTGATGTAGTTCCTCTGCCCTCAATGAATGAAGCTACACTGATTGACATGGCTGAGAGTCTGGCCCAAAACGCTGATCAAAAGCGTTGTGATTTTGCAGAATGATATCCAAGATATTTTGTCAAAGAGTTCACAAAAAATCTTCCCTCCTCCCCGCAGTGAGAAAATAAAAATTACTGCAGCAGGTATTAATAAATAAATAGAACAAACAGCCATACAACACCCTAACCTGGTTTTAAAGGCAACATTTTTCACATTTGGATCATTAAAAACATTCAATCCCTACTGTACATTTGGAACTGAACAACCCACCACAAGAGTTATTTTACATCTTGCATATAAGACCGATTAACACCTCAGGGCATAATATTCACATAATACCTTTCTAACAATGTACCACTATTCTTCTCTGTTATATATGCAACAAAGGCTATTGAGAGGTGCTAGGCAATGACTAGTTCTTTCCCAGAATGATCTCAGGAGGAAAATATGCCTCATGCAATTCGCAATCTGAAGAAATATGACCCGGTATGGTAAGTAGAAAACCAGCCCCTAGAACACACATGCACATGCACACATGCATGCACGCACGCACGCACATGCACACCCACTTTTTTTTTTTTATTAAATGAAATACTGCACTGCAAATAGGCAGCCTAGTAATTTTGGATAAGGTTCTATATATTTAATCCAGCTCCTACTGAAGTCCCTCTTTCCATTGACCTCAGCAGGTCCCCCATGACAGAAGTCATCAGTTTTTGCATCTAGCAGCTTCTTGGGTTATTTTTTCTTGAATTTGTTTTTAATAATCAAACATAAGGATGGCTGCAATATTGACTTCTACGTTCCCCAGGAGGCAGAGGCAGACATAGGGCCCCTTGATAGAAAGTCACTTTTATTCAGGGTTGGGGACTAGGAATTCTTTAATTGCATCCCTTGTCTCTCCAACCATCACTTGACAACCATAACACATTACAACTCTTCATGTCACCATAGCAAGCAAGCGGCCACCTTGCTGATGAGAGATGCGTCCTGTTTGAGGACTGTAAACTTAAGTGAGGTGCCTTGAAACTTTTCTTCTGGGGATCATGTCAGCCACTTCCAAGTCACATCCATTTTTACGTGGCCTGGGCTCAAAGCACAGGTCCAGGATCTATTTATCAACCCAACTCTGCTTTTGGTAGGCAGATGACTTTGGTGTTATGGTGGAGAAGAATGGAAATTTCCTACGTGACTCTTGTTTAGCATAAAAAACCCTAACAGTGGCTCAGTTCTACCTGGCTTGACTATTTCTTACTTATAACAGAAACATATTCTTTTTATTATTCCTGTCTAAAATATACAATTTTGGACAGCAGGACTGTAACTGTGCGCTATACACCCTGCCAAGGTGAAAAGCAAATTCTAAAGTGTGCTTTTCTTTTTAGTAACGCTGATATTCCTCTATTAAATACATAATACTATAACCCCTAATGACTTTCCACCCTTAAAAAAAAAGAAAAAGAAGAGAGGGAGAGGGACTTAAGAGACTTGTAAGTGATTTGCTTTCATTAGCTTGGAAATTTACAGTTTAGTCATCCCTACCATCTACATTATATTTCTCAATAAATTACCTTCCTATTTACTTTTAAAAGTAAGGAGATGCAGTACAGATGTCACTAATTAAAACAGCATAGATCACTCTGAAAGACTTTGTTATAAAATTACAAGCAGAAAACCCCATAATGAGCAATTAAATGCTAATTAATAACACAGCCTCATCCTGATATAGCGCTTCTCATCTGTAGATTCGAAGTGCCTTACAAGAGAAGGTCACAACCATCATCCCCATGCACTGGAAAACAAGGCATGAGGAGATTATAGACTTGTCTACCTACACCCAAGGGATGAACCAGAAGTAGAACTCAGATTACACGAGTACTGAGCCAGTGCTCTATCCACTTAGCCATGCTGTCTCATTCTCCTTGTGGTGTTTTTTAAACGTGAGCATGACTCGTATAGAATGACATTTTTCAAATCTGACCAATCAAGTCTTGTACTGTGCACCCACTTTTACCCAAATTTGTCACTCGTGGTTTATTTTCCCCAAGGAGGCAACTCAGTTGATTCAAGGCTGACCTAATCTTCAAGCAAAATGAGATCTCTATCCTAAAGAAGTGAAAATATATCAATATACTTACTATAAGGGACGCATTCGTACTGGACTTCCAGGTACTTGTATGTTCCTGGGCAGGGGTCTGGGAACACATCAGGGCCTGCTACCACAGCACACTGGGTGCGATTGCTGCATCTGAAAGGCAAAGATGTAGACAGTCAAAATACAGAGAGCACTGCATGGCCAACTTTCTCGAAAGTGGTTTCTCCTCTCCACCCTTAGAAAGGAAACATAGTATTGAATTTTGTTAACATTTCCCTGTAGTTCTGCAAAACTAAAAGATTAAAGCAACCACACAGGAAATACGCATTAAAAAAAAGTCTGATTTAATTATACCACCACCACAAATAAATGTAAATACATATTTTTATATCAACACTATGCTTTTAAATAGAGCTATATCAAACAAATTCAAAGAGATAACTAGCAATCATAACAATTATCATCAAAGAAGCTGTCTAAAGAACAAAACCACTTTTTTATACCCAAATATACAGTGCACTTATGTTTGCTGGGAAGGGATTAGGCCAAGTTATTATTACAGGACTGTCTCTGTTCCGAAAACAGATGCGACTTTTGAGATGCGATGAATTTCCAAAACGCAAGTGATGAGCTTTCTCTCATGGAAGAGGTTAGTCTGCAATGACAGGGAGCCATAAGCAACCCTAGGCATACAAGTAGCTTCTTTGAAATCAGCAGGGCTAATTATGGAGGTGAAGTCATTTGCATGCATAAACAGCTGCAGGACTGAGTCCTGAGATGTGTCCTCCATTTAATGCATATGCCTGATTCTTGGCCCTGAATGATTTCCATGTGCATCCAGGCTTCATAACATACATTTGCCCTAGATACCTTTGTAAATCAGCTCACTGATTTTTTTGATGGATTTCAAATACAGATTTATTTAGTAAGCACTACTGCCAAATAGAAAATTCCTTGGTGTTTGTTAAAAAAAAAAAAAATAAGAGAAAAAAAAAGAGGACAATGTCATTAGTCCTTGATTTCATCCTTTTCCACATCAGAAAAAGAACTCCTCAGGGCTAGATCATTGCAGATCCTTTCCTGAAGATGCAGCTTCCTCTGATGTGACATGGGACCTCTGACCCTACTGTTCTTCTGACAGAAGCGGCAGCAGCCAGAGAAGAACTCTCATTTAGCTCTGGAGTGGAAATGCTTCGTGTTTACCTGAGGCTACAGTTTGTCATCTTTAATGAGGATTTCATTTTAGCCCATAAATTAAAATTGATTCATTAGTGAATGCCGTAAGCTCGATAATTTCTTTAATGTTACAGAAAGATTAATAAAACCTGATATCCCACTGATCAGGCAATTTTGCAGGATAGCAGATAATCCAGTGAGCTGGACTGTGCTCATTTTTCCCTGTTGAGATTTAAGCCAGACGATGGCTATCAAAAGCAAGTGACTAGTTTTATCATATAAATGAAGGAATAAATGTATTAGCTAGAGGGCTAATTGTGTTGTCCTCAGCTTTGCTACTGTGAGACAGGTGATTTGGCAAAGGTATCACAGATAGCTTGGCAAGTGCAAGTGAGCTAGCTTCCAAACAGAGGCTTTGAACCTGATCCAAAATTTCACTTTCACCAAAAAGTTTTTTACTGAGCTCAATGTGCCTCAAGATGCAGCAGTCCCCTCTGTGGTTTTGGGATCAGTTCTAGCCATGTTACAAAGAACAAAAGTAATGCGTCTTAATGGTATGGTAGACAGGTAGAAGTAAGGCCTAAGAAATCAGCTTGGGATCGATCAGCTTAAAAATCATGAGTTTGTTTCTTTGTTTTCTATGTTAAATTTCAGGTTCTCATATAAGCAAGTGAACCTGGGAGCCAGTGCTTTAAAACAGAAAACCCACCCCATGTTTTAAGGTTTACAATGAAATCCCAAGGGTTGGCTTCACTGGTCCATCAACTCTCTATACATACATTTGAAGAGTAGGCTCTGAATGCAAGCCTGACCCTACCACAACATTTTGAGCTCAGAGAAAACACCAAACAGAGTGAAAATACCTGAATGTACTTTGTCAGCTAACTTGTAGTTATCACTGGTGGCTTCTGAATGACAGAGGGAGTTGAGAACACTGGAGTACTTGCCGCCCATTGGATTTTTTGATCAGTCTCTTGGGGCTTAGACATAGGGCATATTTGCCCTGGTGGAATCAGCCTTTTTACCAGTGTAAACAAGGAACAGACATGGAGCAAGTAGTCCTACATTGGTGTAACTTAACTAGAATCCTGTGCAGAATTATCCTGATTAAATGCAGGGGTAAAATGACAAGTATAACTTCAGTGAGTATAGGCATCATGTGTCCACAGCTGTCATAGGGTGGTAAGTTCCTGTAGGCAAACAGATTATTACCTTCTCACCCACTACTAGATGGCAGAGAACTGTAACAGCACCTACTGCAAGCAGTTACCCTAGATTGCTTGCTTTGGATTCCAATGTAATTTATATTGATATATGAAAGCGAAATAAATTACACTCGGGTGATGTAGCATAGATGACTCAACTGTAAGTTTCCAAACTGCTCAAAGTAAACCATGTGCAGGCTTCTTAAGCTGCTATTTTTAAAGGATGAGAGTCATTGTGGGTTACAGTATTTAATACAGGAATCTCAGAGTTATCACAGTTAGGATCACAATCTTTGCTCAGGCATTTATGTACAACTCTACTTGACCTGAAAGGGGGACACTACTGAAGATGCAGCTGGTGGGAAAAGGCAGGACATTTCCATCTCCACAGTAATACCCCCAATCTGAAGGAAGGCTACTCATGTATGGTTTCTCCTATATACGTCCACAGGACCTGCAGGGGAAGAGGGCAGGGTCTGCCCTATATCTCAGCCTGCCCATCCAGGAACCACACAAATCCCCTAGGAAATTTGGGAAGCCAGAGCCACATGCACTCTGCAGTCCTGGAGCTTCCTGTATTTGGGAAGACCAGACCACTAGAGGTAACTCCTATCCCTGCCACAGATGGAGCCAGGTATGGAAAGGCATCTCCAAAGGAAGAGGCATAGGAAGAGGGATGCCACACCAACCCCGAAACCTGCACAGCATGAGGTTGCTAAGGTCCAGCACTGCTGGCCCTGGAATCTTTTCTCATTGCATGTCTTTGGAGGAACAGAAGGTTGCTTAGGGAGACAGCCTAAGCATCTTGGCAGTGATATGTTCCATTACATATATTATATTTTGTACATGCACAAACAGAAGGAATAAAGGTTCTTCCCACAGGCCCAGGTAGGGTAAACTTCTATAAATCGGTATAGTATTGCAAACCCAAAGCGGTTGCAAATTAGGAGTCAGACCCCAATCAGTCATGAGACTCACTTAAAAATCAAAGCATTAAAAAATAATACATTTTTGGGGGGGAAGGGGGGCGCAGGATTTCTGTGCCTTCTGTTTTTCACATTTCTAGATGTCACATTCCAAAGCATCTCTCTGCAACCAGGAAATCTACAGACTTAGAAAAGAAAGCACATTGAAATTCCCATGAATTACTAGTTCCCAGAAGCTGAGGATTTAAGGGGGTAAAAAAACCCTCCAAATACTATGAATAAATCACCCAAGGTTGCAACACTGATAGCACAAACGGCACTGCCTCTTCTACATACGGATTTCAGAACAGATCCTATTTGTAGCAAAAACTTGTCCTGCACTTGACATTTTAGCTTTCCTTTTACTGTAGCAACATAAAATGTTCAGCTGTTCATCCTAAGAAACTTGCAGAGAAAGTCAATTAAAGGGGGAAGGGGGGAACAAAAAAACCAATATCTGTTGAGCCAGCTGTTACTGGCAGACTATAAGAATTTTAAGGGGAAAAACAAAATAAATGCTCATTGTCACTGGTAAGCCAGAGTTGTGCTCCTACTTTTCCCTCTTTCACTACTGTCTCACCACCCTTCAGTTCTGTCATGTTTCATTCCATGCAGATTAAAGGCCCTACTGACAAAAGGCTGACACATAGGAAGTGACACAGAAAAAGAGATGTGTGGGTAGGCTTTAGAAGAAGGGAAAAAACATGTAATCATTGCTTATTCCAGCTCAGGCAACCCAGCTCACAAACAGCCATTGCTGAGTGATTGAGCTCTCCTTGGTTATCACAGGATTATGTGCCAAACCCTTTGATTGCTTGGCATTAATTGCAAAGCAAGACTCCCGTCATTTGCTGAGATGCATTAAGGCAAATGAAGACCAGGAGATGGATAACTCAGGGGATTGGTAATAAATATGTGCACGTCTATATTCATATCCAGCCCAAGCCAAAACAAAAAGTTTTCACTATCAGAGAGCTGCTTGGTGACTTACTGAACATCAAAGAACTCTTTGGAGTCCAGTACCTAACAGATGTACACCCTTATTAAAAAAAACAAAACAAACAAATGGCATAAAGGATGTTTGTGCTTGTGGTTAAAGTACAGTAAACGAGACTGATTTTTCCCTAAATTTGATGCAAACAGTCTGACTCAAACCAAGGCAGGCTATAATACACTCTCTGCCTATCTCAAAGCAAGGGAAATGCCAATCAAATGCAGCTGACAGAGAATGGACTGGACTTCTTCAACATAAGGCATAAAAAATGGTGGAGCTCCTTTAAGCAGACTATTTATCTGGTAGGCAAATCCTTTAGCTAATGCAATTGAGGTTGTAAAAATCAAAATCTAGTGAAACTAGCTATAAAGGGATCAGGTTACTTAAGTACTTCACTCCTCAGGTCTCAGATCCTAACCTACCAGGCAGGGTCAGAAAGACACACTCCCCTTTAACGAAGTATAGTAAATGACACACTTGGCTTTATAGCAGGAGGGTTTATCATTTTGAGCTCTGCTATGCACTTGCTCATACTGGCTGGTTTTGGACAGAAGCCAGGCTTGAAAAGATGAACAAACAATAGCAGAGAACTTACACTTGGGAACCAGAGATGAATCTGGAAGATGACCTCAAGGACTCCAGTCTTTCCGCCACTGTTGTGCCAGCCTCCCCATGTCTACTCCTGAAGGGGTTTAGGACGATATGCTCCTGTGCCTCCCTTCATGGCCTGGCCCCTCCTATTTTCTACAAATCCAGCAAGGGAAGGGCCTGGAAGAAGCAGCTCATAAACAAGCTGTAACTTCCAAAAAGAGT